AGAATCTATCTTCATTTTTATTAGTCTACAGATCTACAGATCGTCCATGTATTGAATACTAGCTAGAAAGCAACCCAATCGGGCGGCATTTAAGATAGCTCCTGTGAAGGGCTCTTGATAGGGCCCTCATCGCAATAGGTACAGAAGAGTAGATGAGATAGCCAACAATAAACTACAGAACTCAAAATTGATCGCTGTATTTAAATATTGCATTCATATTTAAGCTTACCTTTTAAAAGTTCAATGATAATTCTTCTGCCGCCACTTAATTTAAAGACAATTTGATGTACGTAGGTCCTTACTTTCCGTACGAACAATTATTTTTATTTCATAGATAACTTTTCGCTGGATTTCGCAATTAATTTCGATTATCCCCAAATTCATTTCCAAGTTACAGAAATTGTTATCATACAAAAAATATTCGTCGCAACAAAGTAAAAAAAAAAAAATCGCCAAAAACAAACGCAGTAATGAAAATTTGGGAATCCAAAATTTCAGGATTTGGGGTCTGGATCCGACCCTGAATGATTTTAATTTGCTAACGGCGTCGGCTTGATTCCAAAATGGTATCATATATTGGCGCTACGTCCTCTAGGCGTCAAGGAGAAAAAGTGTGACACAGTGACACACTGACATTCGCAGTTATTATATAAATGACTGTTACCAATAGTAAGGAGCTTAAAACCACTTTACGTTGAAATACCGGTTCCCGTACGATCTTCGGTGTTAAAGCAACATCGAGCCTGGTCAGTACGTAGATGGGTGACCGCTTGGGAATACCAGGTGCTGTAAGCTTGGATGCACGGCTGCTGTAATAGACAATGACTCGGAATTGTTAATCAGGGAGCAGAGATCCTATTCTAGTTGGATTCGTTATAGTCACTTTGGGAAAGGTATGAATCCAGCTCTTCTTCCCCCCAGCTATGGATTAATTAGTAAAAAAAATCTATCACAAAAACTATTATTATCACTCTCCCCACTCCACAAAAAAAAAAATCTGCGAACTAAAAATATCTTCTGGCTTTAAATAACCTGAAAAAGATTGACAAGACGTAAAAAAAATAATCCTTTTTTTTTTTATAAAATCGGAGCGTTACTGTGGTGGGAAAGTGACTGAAGCCGAGATGCCAGGTAATGATCACTAACATAGAAGTTATTGGTTGTGACCTAGCATCCCAGCTTTAGGCACTGCCATAACGTAGCTTCTCCGTGCCTTTACTACAGATATTTTCCTTGTTATTTTTCTGACAAGCTTTCATCTTTTGTACCCCGGTGTAAATATTCATTGGGGTGTAAATTTTAAATGTTGTTACTGTTATTCCCCATCCCTCACAGGCAAAATATACATATGACGACTAGTTAGGACTAAATAGAGACATTGAGGTATTATGGTGGCTGTAGTCAGAATGGTAAGTAAGAATGTATTCTTTTGGTGTAAGGAATACTGTAGTAGGTTTGAGTCAGTAATCGTGGCTAGCTAAATTTAAGACAGTTTGAACACCAGCCTTTCTCACTTCCCTTTTGGCCTTGTGCCACGTTTTTCTAATATACAAAATAAATATTACTTTCCTCTTTTACTAGGGTTTCATTTTTAGAAGTTGTTATTTTTATTCCTCATCCCCCACAGACAAATTGTACATATGGCGTCTAGTTAGGACTAAATAGAGACTTTGTGGTATTATGTTGACTGTAGTAAGAATGCTAAGTAAGAATGAGTTATTTTGGTGTAAGGAATACTGCGGCAGGTTTGGGTCAGTAATCGTGGCTACTAACATTAAGATGAAACAGATTAAAGACGAGCTTTCACCTATCCCTTACTTTTGGCCTTGTGCCACATTTTTGTATTAAAACCAGATAAATATTACTTTCCTCTTTGGTTGCTAGACTTTTATCACACTACGAGATCGGCAACAATTTATCATCATTTTACAGATGAAATCGTTAGATATAACCGTAAGTTCTATGTTAACAGTTTCTTCTCTCGCACTTCTCGCCTGTGGAACTGTCTTCCGGAGCCTTGCTTTCCAATCAACTTTGATCTTTAAATATTTAAATGCAATGTCAATCCGTTTTCTTAATTCCTGTTCTTTTATTTCTCTATATCCTTAGTAATGTCATTTTTTCTGATATTATCTACCAACTTTGTTGTCTTAGTGATTTTATGGACTTACTTTAGGGTGAAATATTACACCTACTTGTAATTTTGAATTCATAATAACAAGAAAATGTCTCTTGATTAATACCGGATGTAAATATAAGCAGTGCGTAGATAGGGTCAATTTGACAGAAGGTTACAATTATTTGACATGGGGATATTATTATCTAACAAAAAAAACATACGAAAACGGTGTAAGCGAAACAACCAATATTATCTCAGTATCGAAATTACATGAAAGAAAAGAAAGAAAGAAAGAAAGAAAGAAAGAAAGAAAGAAAGAAAGAGAAGAAAAAAGAAAAAAGAAAAAAGACGAACGGAGGAAGAGATGTATGGACGTCGGAAAAGAAAGAAAGAAAGAAAGAAAGAAAGAAAGAAAGAAAGAAAGAAAGAAAGAGAATCGAGTAATGAACATAGAAAGGAATGTATGAACGTCGGGAAAGAAAGAAAGAAAGAAAGAAAGAAAGAAAGAAAGAAAGAAAGAAAGAAAGAAAGAAAGAAAGAAAGAGAAGAAAGAAAGAAAGAAAGAAAGGAATGATGAACGTCGGGAGGAGAGAATGGACGTCGGAAAAGAAAGAAAGAAAGAAAGAAAGAGAATCGAGTAATGAACATAGAAAGGAATGTATGAACGTCGGGGAAAGAAAGAAAGAAAGAAAGAAAGAAAGAAAGAAAGAAAGAAAAAGAAAAGAAAGAAAGAACATGACGAAAGGAAGATGTATGGACGTCGGGAAAGAAAGAAAGAAAGAAAGAAAGAAAGAAAGAAAGAAAGAAAGGAAGAAAGAAAGAAAGAAAGAGAATCGAGAATGAACGTCGGAAAGAAAGAAAGAACGTCGGAAAAGAAAGAAAGAAAGAAAGAAAGAAAGAAAGAAAGAAAGAAAGAAAGAGATGAAAAAAGTAGGAAAGAAAGAGAATTGAGTGATGAACTGAGGGAGGATTATATCATCGTCGAGAAAGAAAGAAAGAAAGAAAGAAAGAAAGAAAGAAAGAAAAAAAGAAAAAAAGAAAAAAAGAATGGCAATTGAGTGATGAACTGAGGGAGCATTATATCAACGTTGAGAAAGAAAGAAAGAAAGAAAGAAAGAAAGAAAGAAAGAAAGAAAGAAAAAAAAAAGAAAGAGAATTGAATGATGAATATGAAAGAATGTATGAACGCCACGAAAGAAAGAAAGAAAGAAAGAAAGGAAGAATGAAAGAAAGAAAGAGAATTGAATGATGAATATGAAAGAAATGTGAAAAGAATGAAATGAAAGAAAGAAAGAAAAGAAAGAAAGAAAGAAAGAAAGAAAGAAAAGAAAGAAAGAAAGAAAGAAAGGAAGAAAGAAAGAAAGAAAGAGAATTGAATGATGAACATAGGAAAGAATGTATGAATGTCGTGAAAGAAAGAAAGAAAGAAAGAAAGAAAGAAAGAAAGAGGAGTGACGATCGGAGGAAGAGATGTATGGACGTCGGAAAAGAAAGAAAGAAAGAAAGAAAGAAAGAAAGAAAGAAAGAAAGAAAGAAAGAAAAACGAAAGAAAGAAAGAGTAATGACGAACGGAGGAAAGAGATGTGTGAACGAAAGAAAAGAAAGAAAGAAAGAAAGAAAGAAAGAAAGAAAGGAAGAAAGAGTGTTGAACTGAGGGAGGAATTTATCAACGTCAAGAAAGAAAGAAAAAGAGAATGAAGAAGGAGGGAAGAGAAGGAAGGAGGAAGAAGGAGGAAGAGGAGGTGATGAGGAAGAAGGAGGAAGAGGAGGTGATGAAGAAGGAGGAGGAAGAGGAAGTTAAAATGAAATGAGAAACAATTACTATTTTAGAAAGAGAGGGTGAATTCCTGAAGTCGGAACCAGAGTGATGGATACATAAAGCGGGAGAGAGAGAGAGAGAGAGAGAGAAGAGAGAGAGAGAGAGAAATACTGGATAATACAAAAATGGGGGTAGGGAGATAGAGCAAGAGAAGTGTATAGAGAGGCGCAAATATAATGTAGTAATAGTGTGGGAGTGGCAGGTTCAGGTCGGTGCAAGTAATACGTAAGTCCTTATTACAATCATCAATGAGTCATCCTACACGACCATGCACAGAATAGATTCTGAACTTTCTTCCCAATCACAAAACAAATTTGACTCTTATTCACTAAGCAAGCGGAAATTACAACGAAAAGTAGGAATACCTTTTTTTTTTTTGTTTTATTTAATTCTTCAACAGGAGTTTTGTTGGTTTTTAATTTCATTAGTAAGACGATATATGGAGTGAGGTATGTACTAAAAATTGCATATTCTATTTAACTAGGTCGTTTACGATAACACTGAGTCAAGCAATCTAAGGATTTTATACTTCTGTGCCAAATGATTTCTTTTTTTCTTTTCGTCTTTTCTTTTTTATGTCCCATGTCCTTTCAAGACGTCAGCGATCATGGCTCTCCGCCTCCTTCTGTCCCCTGCAGCTCTCAACAAGTTCCTTCCCTCTGCTATCTCCTCCAGACCACGTTCTGTCACCCACCTACTCAAGCCCCCCCAGGAATGTCACGCACTGCTTTTCCTTGTCTCTCTCTCTCTCCCTCTATTCGACCTGTGAGTATCAGATTCTCCAGGCCCTCCTTCCTCATTACGTGTCCCAGAAACCTCAGCTGCCTCTACCTGAGAGTCTGGAGAATCTGAGATTCACGGGTCGAATAGAGGGAGAGAGAGAGAGAGAGAGACAAGGGAAAGCAGCGCGTGACATACCTGACGAGCTTGAGCAAATGGATGACAGAAAGTGGTCTAGGGGAGGAAGCGGATGAAGGAGCTTGTTGGGAGCTGCAAGGGATAGAGGGAGGTGGAGAGCCATGATCGCCTACGTCCTCCTGATAAAAAAGGAGAATGGAAAGATAGATAAAGAAAGAAAGAAAGAAAGAAGGCCTGGAGAATCTGATATCCACGGGTTGAATAGAGGGAGAAGCAAACAAAGGAAAACAACACATGACATACCTGACGGACTTCAGCAAGTGAATGACAGAACGTGGTCTGGGGGAGGAAGCAGACGGAAGGAACTTGTTTAAAGCTGCAAGGGATAGAGGGAGGTGGAGAGCCATGATCGCCTACGTCCTGAAAAGACATGGCATAAAAAAAAAAGAAAGAAAAAAGAAAAAGGCCTGGAGAAATACACACGGGTCGAATAAAGGGAAAGAGAGACAAGGGAAAAACAACGCATGATTAGCAATGAATGACAGAACGTGGTCTGGGGAGGAAGCAGACGGAAGGAACTTGTTTAAAGCTGCAAGGGATGGGGAACACAGATCGCCTACGTCCTGAAAACATCATCCAAATAGCGAGATAAGTTGGATCGAGCTCACAACACAGTCTTAACTCTCCTAGCGAGATAAGTTGGCTAACAATTACACAAGGTCCAGTTGCAGCGATGTTTTATTATCTTGTTGATACTGTAGATGCATGTAGAATACAGATTTGTCCTTCTATTTAGACAAGTATATTGAGACTAGTATACCCTGCTAGCTAACCAATGTCTACGGTAGGCAGGCACATTTACAAATTATGAAGGTTCACAGTAAATTAGCCCGCGGGGCCACAAAAACAATTTTTTCCTGATTATGAGTGAGATGAAACAGGAATATAGAGAGAAAACCTCATGCCGGCTACATCGAGTTTCAAGCGGCCCGGAGGCTATATTTTGTTCAGAGCCGATCTAATGAATGCTAAACTACAATACTTATCTGTCTGTATTTCTGAGATGGGCTATTGTAACAATTTACACTTTTCATATTGTTCATACTGCTGTCCTCATGTTTATTGATACATTCACGACGTTTCGGTCATAGTATGCTCCAGTCTTCGTCAGGGTCGTTATATATTTCTGAGATGAAGTATTGTAACCATTGACACGATTGACATTGTTCGTACTGTTGTCCTTATCTTTATTGCCACATTCACGACGTTTCGGTCAATGTATGCACCAGTCTTCCTCAGGTTCTGTCTATAATTCTGAGATGAAGTATTGTAACCATTGACACTATTGACATTGTTCGAACTATTGTCCTCATTTTTATTGTCACATTCACGACGTTTCGGTCGAAGTATGCACCAGTCTTCGTCTGGTTCTGTCTATATTTCTGAGATGAAGTACTGTAACCATTGTCACTGTTAACATTGTTCGGACTGTTGTCCTCATCTTTACTATCACATTCACGATGTTTCGGTCGTAGTATTCTATAGTCTTCGTCAGGACCTGTCCATATATCTGAGATGAAGTATTGTAACCATTTACACTAGTGACATTGTTTGGATTATTGTCCTCAATTTTACTGTCACATTCACGACGTTTCGGCTGTTGTACACTCCGGCATTCTTCAGGTGATATTTGTTGATATACTTTATATATACTTATATAAATATTTTCATGCGAGTTGTTCTAATAAACTCGCATCATTGGTACCTCGACCGAAGGGTACTAATAGACTGGCTACTTGGTTTCAAAGTTTTACTTTTGAAATAGGAACATTTGACCTTAAGTTCTATCCTTATAGTTTCTTTCGTCGCACTTCTCCATGTTTCTTTCTTCCCTACCAACTACAATCTTCAAAAATTTAAATGAAGTTCTAAACATAAATTATTGTCTTCTTAAAATCAGTCCTTTTATTGTCCTTTCTCCTCAGTAAAGACTTTTCATTCTCTTTCACTCCCAGGAACCCCTTGCGTCTTACTGGCATTATCGCCATCTTCTGTCTTCCTGAAACCTGTTCCTGTTCTAAAGTTTTAATTCTCTTTTTCAGTAGCCCCTTACGTCTTAGTGGCATTATCGCCATCTCTGTCTTCCTGAAACCTGTTCTTTTATTGTCCTTTCTACTCACAAAAGTCTTTTCATTCTCTTTGACTGCCAATAATCCCTTGCGTCTTAGTGGCATTATCGCCATCTTCTAACTTCCTAAAATCTGCTCTTTTATTGTCCTTTCTTCTCACTAAAATCTTCTCATTCTCTTTCACTCCCAGGAACCCCTAGCGTCTTAGTGGCATTATCGTCATCTTCTGCCTTCTTGAAACCTGTTTTTTTTTATTCTTCTTTCTCCTCACTAAACTTCTGTTCTTTCATTGTCTTAGTGGCATTTCACCATCTTCTGTCTTCCTGTAAACTGTTCTTTATTGTCTTTCATTGTATTCTCATCTTTTTCTCCCAGGAACTCCTTGCGTCTTAGTGGCATTATCGCCATCTTCTGTCTTCCTAAAACCTGTTCCTTTATTGTCCTTTCTCCCCACTAAAGTCTTCACATTCTCTTTCACTTCCAGTAACCCTTTGCGTCTTAGTGACATTATCGCCATCTTCTGTCTTCCTGAAACCTATTCTTTTATTGTCCTTTCTCCACATTAAAGTTTTCTCTTAGGCTTTTACTCCTAGTAACCCCCTAGCATCTTAGTGGTTTTATCAACATATTCTGCCTTCCTAAAACCTGTTTTTTTATTTCCCTTTCACCTCGCTAAAGTCTTCTCATCCTGTTTCACTCCCAGGAACCCCTTGTGTCTTAGTCACATTATCTTCTGACTTCCTGAATCCTGTCGCTTTATTGCCCTTTCTACTCGCTAATGTCATTTTGTTACTAATCCGCATCTTTCTTACTAACCAGCAACAACAGGGGTTATATGAACACTCGTCGTTGCTAAACACTGGAAACAAAAGTGTTGAGGGTTTAATCACATGAGAACATGTATTAGGAATACTAGTGCTAGAAGCGTACGACTTTTTAAAAAAGCTACGCCTTTGCGACCCACATTTGCCACTGTTCCATGAGCAGGCGTTCTACTCATAGTGGATTGACGAGTCAGTGTTTTAGTAATAGTGTACAGAAGTCTGTCTATATTTCTGAGATGAGATATTTTAACTATTTACACTATTTACTCGTGGATTCAATAAAAGGTTTGGCCGCATTTCCAATGTATATCACCTGAAGAAGGCCGGAGAGGACTACGACCGAAACGTCGTGCATATGACAATAAAAATGAGGGCAACAGTTCGAAGAATGTAAATAGTGTAATTAGTTACAATACTTCCTCTCAGAAATATAGATACATCCTGAAGAAGACCGGAGCCTACAACGGCCGAATCGTCGTGAATATGACAATAAAGTGGTGAATATTTCAATAAAGATGAGGGCAACAATCCGAACAATGTAAATAGTGAAAATGGCTACAATATCTCATCTCAGAAATATAGAGAGATCCTGAAGAAGGCCGGTGCGTACTAGGGAAGAAACGTCGAGAATATGACAATACAGATGAGGACAACGGCCCGCAAAATGTAAATAGTGTAGAGAACGTTAGAAAGTCTTTCAAAGCAACACATCTTATTCTTTTCAACTCTCATTGAGCCATTGCATAATATCTTGCTGGCATTATCCCCTTGCATGGGGTGAAATTATAAAATTAAAATCCCAGGAGGGAGCTTTCCCGAGCACTAAAATCTTAACCTTTTCAAGTTTTGAGCTAATTGTTATCTTTTGCATATAACCGGATAAACGGCGTCCATTACACATACTAATCACGCAACGACCGCCTTCAGTCACCCTCTACCTTGAGTGGCAGTCTGGCCTTGTGTAGGATGACCATTAGTAAAATATTTATCTCAGACGAAATCTGGCTGCATCATTTACTTTCGCGATTGATGATTGGACAGGCTTTCTATGCCCCGGAGCTACGAGTGTTTGCAAGACAATTGTCTACGAAGCTAGATTCACGGAGCAGCAGTTCGAATATGTAATTGAAGGGAATAGGGTGACTAATGGCGTTGTGGTGTGAAATTGAAATCTGCCAATCAGTCGAGCGGAAAGTTAATCTTGTCTCTTACTAGAGAAAGTGAATTTCGATTAACACTTTCGATTTCTTGTTGCACTTATATTTGACGAGACTTTGGCGAGATTCTGGCGAGACTGGGGGAAGCGTTTTGATATGTCTTTCAATTTTAGGGCGAAATCTTCTAAATACTTTCTTAGAATAGAGAATTCGAAATCCCAATGTTCGCCTGGGCTTACTTATCGATAAATATGCAATTACCTCAGTTTGTCGCATTGTTGATATCACGATTTACCATCATGTTTCTTATTTATTGCAAAGAGGGACGTGGGTTCGATTTCTGCCCTCCCTTTTTTTTTCATTAACAAGAATTCTCGAATGTGCAGCTCAGTAGATGGAATAAAATAGTGTTTAAAAATAAAAGGAGCGTCTACTCCAATATGAGTACTCACTTAAAAAAAAAAGTAATAAAATATGATGGATTAATAAATAAAATTCAATTACTTCTTTAGGAATTGATTTATTTTCCTTTTCGGATACGAAACTGAGCAAAAAAGGCTAATATAACTTTACTTGATTCGAAGCACTTTGTAGCCGGTTAATCCAGGGAGCGGCAGGTTCGAATCCTGCCGGAGAGTGATTTTAAAAAAAATAAGATTTGTAGAATGTATAGGCCGGTAGACGAATTAAAATACTGTTTGAAATAAACAGTACGTCGACTCAAATATAGGTATCCAGTAAAAATGACATAACGATATATAATATATATATATATATATATATATATATATATATATATATATATATATATATATATATATATATATATATATATATATATATATCCGTTGATAATTATATAGTAGGGGTAATACCAAGGAGGACATGAATATATATAATTATTTATTTAAAAATATGATTCCATTGCCATAGAATTATATTTTTAAATAAATTATTATATTTAGGCTCTATATTTGTAACGAGCAGTTTTTTAAAAATAATAACAAAAATACTAAAGAACTTTGGATTATTTACCTAACGAGTTCTTTCCTATTTTCTATATATTTTTACACACACACATATAAATATATAAA